AGATCCTGGCTGAAACGGCAACCGAGGCCTCGAGGTAGCAGGTACTTAACCGTCAGCTACTTTGAAAAGGCCAGGGACGACGTATCGGGCGGACCGAAAATAGGCTTTTATCGTGTTTTCGGAAGCGGGAACGGCAGCGGGAGGTGGGTGCCGGTTGTAAATCAGCGTTTAGAGCGTTTAAAAACGCGATAGGTGGGCCGATTTAAAATAGACGCTCGGGCCGCGCGAGTGGCCGCATCGGCGCGCGATAGGCAGTCTTAAATCTCGCGAGACGAAAAGAAACGAGCACCGGTGACTTTCTGCGTTTCGTCATTCGATATTCCAGCATGCAAATGGAGAAGCCGCGGTTACGCCAATTCCAGACGCGGCTCCGCGGCCGAACGCGACTCACCGCGATTCCGCGGGACAATCGCCTTGCCGAACGATTATTCTTTTCCCCCCGGTCGATCTTTCGACATTCCCCGCTCGTCCACCGACTGTCCTCGTGATACTTTTCGCTAAACCGCGGACGTTTGCTCGTCCCACTCGAGAGATGATCGTCCAAGTTCGTGAGAAGAATACCGGTTGCTACACCGCACGAAGTTGACACGGGAATTTTAATCACCCGCCGTGTTTCCAGCTGAAAATAACTAGACCTGCATAGCAAACCTGTGCCGTGTAGGCCGCCGGTATTCCGAGTCTCGCCTCCTCTCCGTCGGGATAATTCAAAATATTACATAAAAATAGACGCGTGTAAGCTACGCCGGTTGCGACACCGCGCGTGCGCGTAGGGTCTGTCGTCGACCCTAGGGAGAATCGTTAACGATTCCGCTCTCAGACGACCCGCTGCCAGAAACAACGGACACGCATCCTAAAATCTGTCTAAAATTAACAATTAAAAGCAGGCTCACCGAGGTGACGGACTGTCGTAACTCCGCGAAAACCTGACTCTCCGAGTCCACGGAGTAAAAGAAACACGGCGATTCCGAGGGATATCCTCCACTTTCCGCGTAATCTCTTTTTACGACGCACGGTCCTTCCATCTCGCGCGATTTTAGCAGACCTGGCGGACCCACGATAGCAAACCTCGACGACGTTTACGACAACGCAGGGAATCGAGGTAAAACGATCGTTCGTTCTCGGAGGTCCAAAACTCCCGCCGGAAGTTATCGCGAGGGGTAGATTTCTCGAGAGAGCTCTGACGCGCGTTAATTAATCTCGCGTCGCGGAATTTGCCGAAAAACAAGTTGGCGATGGAGCTTTTCGGCATGGCGCGCAACAGTTTCGCGGTGAACCGGAGCAACAGGTGCCCCAGCTGTGCTCGGTGCAGAATCGATGAAAGCCACTGGTCGCGTAAGCTAGTTCGCGATCGAAATTAATACGACGAGGTGCCGCGATGGGTGTCGCTGCGATTCCATTTTACCTATGCGCCGGTGGAGCAGTCGCGAGAACAGGTATCGAGAGGCAGCTCCCACGCGCTCGCGCGACGATCTCGGTGCATCGAGGCGAGCACCGGCACACAGGGTGGTAAATCAAACGGACTGGAATCACCACTGGGAGAACGCACTACTCTGCGTCGTGCGAGCAGAGTTGCAGCAAACGAACGAGTCGCGCAACAGGTACACGCACTGATCCCGGACCTCTCGCAGCTTCTAATCGTCCCACGCACTCGCACTCGGCCGGATAGGTTACGCAACGGCGATGCGACGACGTCGAGAGGACGCGAGAGGACGCGAGAGGACGCGCGCGGTCGGGCGTCGCGACGCGGACGGACGACGGAGCGTGGTGGACGCGACGTGGACTGGACAGGTGCCGAGGAAACGCGACGGTCGCGGTCAAAAGGCGAAAACGAACTCGTGCGGTGCTCGCCGGCCCTACACTGGCGCATGTCGGCGAAGCACGTGCACGCGCGGCGTGTTGGAGCTGCCAGAAAGAGGCGAGACGCGATGCAAGCGAGCTAGCGAGCGAGCTCGCCAATGACTCACGGCTTCTGGTGCGCGAGGACGCACACGCGGATCGGCGTCGGTGTGCCGGGAGCCTGCGTGACTCGAGTTTCGAGCAATTGCTGCCCGATCGAACACCAGCCAGCCACGGCTACCGGTTCTACTCCGGACCGTTCCCCGATTCTCCGCTCCACGGAAGAGAGCTACTCGGCAAATTTACCGCGATAAAGCGGCTCGACGGAATGCGAGCCAGTGGACGCGTCTTTCCTCCAGCCCGCGCGCGTAAACCTGCCAAACGCGAAACTTTGATTTTCACGCGTCAATTTCAACCGTCTCCTTCGTTCCCGCGCTTGTCTCCGGCGGATCGCGACGATTGGGAGGAAGACGGGAGAATAACGGCGAACGGAAACGGCGAGGCGCGTGAAAATTAAGGCGGAAAAAGCGGCAGACGAGGGAACCTTGATCTCTAAGGACTGCGAGGCTGCGAGCCGCGGTAAGGAATTAACGCGATCCATCGAGGCAGTGCTAGAATCTATGCTAATCCGCTCGTTCCACAACTCGAGGGCTTTGCTCCGCCCACGCTCCGCGAGTCTAGTCTAGACCGTATCGAGCGTGGCCTGCGCTAATCGTAAGCCCGGATTGCGCCGGATCTAAGGTATGCAAGGTCTGGTCTAGGTCTAACCAGGCGTACGGTTGAGCAACGTTAGCCTAGCTCCGCTGTAACGCTACATCGCCGATGTTTGCAAAATAGTCGATCCACAAGTACGGCCACGTGGTCTCGCCGTGCCACGGATCGTTTAGATGCAGCGATGCGCTCGTAAAATCCGCCTAAGTCAGCGTAATTTAACCAGCGAGCAGTAACGCTTATCGTCTCCGCGCAACTCGGCCGCGAATTAAGTCGACCACGAATCGCGAGTTCCCCGATTCCAAGCTTCCCGCTCGCCATGATAAACCTATAAATACGAGCACGTGCTCGGCGTTTCCCGCAGGAGAATCAAGGAGAGAGAGAGAGAGAGAGAGAGAGAGATAAACGGCCGCGTGCTAGATTATCCCGGTTCCGCTCGCGCGTAAATCAGAAGCGTATTTCGCGTCGAGTGCCGCGGCGTGCGCTCGTAAATCGATTAGAGTCGAACGCTCGACCGGCGCGTTATCGACGCCTATGCGTGGCCGATTTCGTTTCGCCAACGACGGTCGAAAATACGTCTACTCGTGGACGCGTATCCGTCGCGTATCCGCTCGCCTTTATTGCGTAAATTATCGACGTCCACGGGCGTAGGCGCTGGAAATACGCGCGCGCGCTGGCTCGGTAAACGGAGGCGCGGTCGAGCGCGTAAACTTTGATGGAAATGAATTCGTAACGAGCGGAGTGCAGCGTGTAAAATTAAAGGCACGACACGGCCTGATCCCCGTTACGGCTCTGCCGTCTGGAACCGACTGTCGCCGCGTTTTATTGGATTTAAGTGAAAGCGGGACGACGTCTCCGTTGTTTCGTAAGCTTAGAAACGCCGATCTGTAACACCGTCGCGGCCGCGCCTTCCGATTGATAAATCGGCGGACACACGCAACAAGTAAAAGCGTCCAGTCCTCCTTGATCGGCCGCGCTTTTCCTCCCTCGTCATCGCGGCAACTTTTCCCGACACGCGCGTCCGAAAATAGTCGCGTTACGCCACTTTCGCCGAGATTCGGCGAATTCTACTTATTTTTCTCTCTTTTCCAAACTCGCTATCCGCCGCTATCTCTCGACCCGCGAACGAAATACCGAGGGAAATGTAGGTCGAAACTGCGTCGTCCGGCACAGAAATCCGTTTCGCAACGTTTCTCCGTTCGCGAATGGAAATCGTAGACGAGGCGAGACCGCGAGAGATCGAGCAACGACACGCTCGAAGGGAGGCGAATTAATTATCTAAATTTATCGCGGCCGAATCGGACGCGACGACGAGCGTCTTCGTTCGCGCGTGTCAACGATTTATTTTTGAAACGAGCTATGACTGGTGCCGGAATAATCGTAACCGCGTTCCTAGCGAACGTCCGGCCTTGTTTTCCCCGGCTAACGAGCAGAAATTCGCCTTCTCGAGGGGAGAAAAGAAACCAGGGACACGTCGGTCCGCTTCCTCGTTCCTCTTACATCCGCGCGAGATTTTGCTCCCGTGCCACGGGCCCTGCGGACCACCGCGAGCATCCCAGGCGAAGGGGAACGAAATGGTAATGGGGAGAGCCGGTGGCGATAAATCCAGGCAATCTCTGACCGTTATGGACGGATTCGGGCGACTATAGGTGGTATAACTGTGAATCCATCTGCGCGGTTCTAAACGCAGTCGAGCACGACGCCGTGTCCTACACCTTTCTCTCTCCGGGGCACCGCGATGCTGCCAGGAGCATCGGTTCTCTGCCCTGCTGCCGGCCAATTAATTCGTTATTACCGCATTGCTGGCCCGTAAATCACCAGGGATAATTACCAACCGGTAATTTCACCGCTGCTCAGTTACGCTCGGGATAATGGATACGTCGCGGAGCCTTTTGGCCAACGACTCTGGCACCGTTCCGTCTGGCCGATCGATCACGCGGATTTCTCGTCTGCTTCCTGTCGATCCGACGACTCGTTAATCGCTCGGCCAGTTCGATTTTCCATCTTTAAACCGACTTCCAGCGACTTTCCCCTGGATCGATGATAATCGGAGAGCGCGAGAGTTACGCGTTTCGCGTCCTCCGGCTAATGGAACGGGATAATTATTCCGGACAAGCAACCCGATATCCCGATTAGAGGAACTCGACGATCGATGGAATGCATTAGACGGTGCGCGGCTAATTGAAAGGCGACGGGATTCATCGATCATTCGAGCGGATCGCGGACGAGCGTCAACAGACGCGGGAAAAGCCAAGACTTTGACACCGAAGTGTGTCAGCGTCACGAGTACGCCGCCGGATGGAGAGGAGACCGATTCGCTTAAATGCCATCGAGGTTCGCGGAAGCTCGTTTCCTCCTCGTCTTCTCGTTTCCGCGGAGACCGCGATTATCGCCTTTGCTCGGAATCGCGAGAGAGATATTCTCGCCGCGTTAGAAACATTGCGGACGCTTACCTCCACGTGTGCGGCGAGAATCCCAAACACGCGTCCCCGCACTGCAAACAGGGCTGGCCCTCCTCGACGTCCGTGATCAGGACACCCTGCGATCAAACAGAGAAAAATGCATTTTTCAGTCCACCGTTCTGCGTTGTACGCGCGAGCCGAAAGCTGGCTAAGAGTGGCCATCGCGGCGGATCGGGTCGCGTTAATTGCAAAACGGTGAAAGGTTCGGACGATCCTCGCAAATGTCAATCGCCTAGGGCCCCGTTCGATGAGTCCGCCGTTCGCGAATCGGCGCCTCGATCCGACCAACACGCTCCACGTTCCCTCGATCGTGCATCGAAAAGCGGAGGAAAGAGCCATCGAACAAAAGTGCGTCATCGTTTCGCGCGATCGTGACGCGCTCGTAATTGCGTGCGAAGCGGGACAAGGTCGAATCCGCGTGTCTACCTGTTAATCGGGGAAAAGTTTTCAACTACGCGCTCCGTCCATCCGTCCTTCCACCCTGAAACCCCGCTAAATCGAAGACGCTTGCCTTTTAAGCGACGCCGATCGGGCTCTCCCACGTGTGCGCGGCTTCGAACAGTCATTCGGTGACATTTGGACGCGCGGAGCGGCTTCGAAACGCGTCGTCGCGAGCGTTTACGAAGCGGAGATAAAGGGAAGCGGCGAGGATGGAAAGCTCGAGGCGCGTTGGATGCGTTCAAGAACCTTCCGGCCGGCATATATGGTCGGTCTGCCCACGCGAAACAGGTCGCGGCTCTGGCATCGCCAAATATCGAGTAGACGAGCAAACGCGGCGCGGAAAATATGTAAGCCGATGTGTCTCTAGCTGTCTATATATAGCAATCTTGAATAACGATCCCCGAGCGAACGCGCGTCGTCTAATTAACATATTTTTCGTCCTGACTCACGAGTGAAAGGACCTGGTACCTGTTTTTTACTCCGTGCTCGCGCTACCAGCTGGAAATCACCTGGAAACTGCGCGCACCTTCTCGCCTCTGATTTATGCAACCGTCTCTCTCTCTCTCTCTCTCTCTCTCTCTCTCTCTCTTTCGCGCGCGCGCCTTGTCGGACATTTCGATTTCGATCGAGATTCGATTCCGTTCGATTTCATTCCACGCGAACGGTTCGGGGGCACTCGGTTTGCTCGAGGATCCAGATGTCACGAGCGTTTTCGACGCGTTTTTCGCGCGGCAAATTACGCACGGGAAGGTTGGACGAGTGCGATTGGCGGAATGCGCGAAACGAGATTCCCGGTCACCGCGTAAATTCTTCGTGGTCGCTATTTCGCGCGAGTCGTTGACTCCTCGCGTCCGTTTATAGCGCGGTTAACAGCTTGGTACGCGAGTCCTCGCCGGTCGCCGCGATTATATCGACTCGCATCGTTAACGACGATGATTGACGATCGCCGATTACACGGACAAAGGCCCCGGGATTTTTCACGCGGCAGTGGCGAACGGGGAAAGATGTGATCCGCGCGGCTCGCGTACGTGTCCTACACGCCGCGCGACCATTCCGCTTGTGGGCGGTTCGCTGACATTTCCATGACGCGTTAGCCAATAGACGGTGGAATTACGTAAGGACATTGAAAACTTGCGTTAAGCCGACTGAATGACAGACCGTTAACCCTCTGGTTAACTGGCTGGACGGATAACTCGCTGGCGCGCTCGCGAAAAAATCGCCCAGATGTAATTTTCGCTCGGGCCAATATTCCGCTCGACCACTCCGGCTCTGACCAACTTCCATTCGCGCGGGGGAAAACGAGACGTTCCCCGCTCGAGAAAGTTGCCGCTTTAGCCCGTGGCAAGCCGTGTCCGCGCTCGAAGAAAGACCAAACCGGCCGAGTAACGAGTGGATTAATTAAAGGATTAGCGTGCACTGACGGACGAACCAAAGGATGGACCCCGGCCGACCTCGTCTGGCCCAAACGCTCTACGCAGAGTTACGCGAGTCGGAAACGGCCTCGCGTGGACGAAGAACGAGTCGCATTAGGGTTGGATTGGAATCAAAAAGTTTCACTGGTCAACTAGAAATTTAATCAAAACTTTCTACATTTACTCTCTCATATTTATATGTGTATATATATATATATATGTGTGTGTGTGTATATACGTATATGTATCTGATAATCGTATAAAGACAAATCGGTAATTGCTCTCGTAATTACTTTCGCTTATTTTATACATGTTCGCCGAGTCCGTTTCTCGTATTCAAGCAGCTCCGGTATAACTGTACGTGTATAGAGGACATGACGAAAAACATAACTGACGTACAACCAGCTAGAGAATAAGGCGGATAGCGTGTATAGTAACCGTGTAGTTATCGGCGCGAACGACATGGCGATACAAAAGCGTGGCAGGAGCAAACCGCAACTAACGACCGATCGGCGGCGAGCAAATGGCGTGAAACGCGGCAAGAAAACGTTCGCACCTTCCAACGATCCAGCATCGGCACACACTCGACACGTGTATATATATATATACCGATTGGCCATCCAACGCAGAGCGGCGTGTCGCCCGGTGAAAATCGGAAAAACAAAATTCCTCGCCCGAGCGGGCCGATTACGAACACGCAGCACACTCCGATTTGCCTGGATCCTCGGAACCGTTACGAGAATCGCGCTTTCATCTTCTCCATCGATTTATGAATATCGCTTCTCGCTTCTGAACCATAAAGGACCGATCGAACGCAATTGACTCATGAAAATGCCATACCCCTTCGCGGTAATTCCAGACTCTTCTCGAAGGTGTAGAAACGCCTCTTCCTGGTATACAGCCGTCTCCGCGAGACCCTCTCCGTCGATGATCATCCTCCACCACCTCCTCCTCATCCTCTTCCTCCTCCTCCTCCTCCACCTCCGTCTTCCCGCGTACGAGTCCTGTGCAGGCCTGAGACGTCGACGTCTCCTCTCGACAGGCATCTCCGGACTCGTGCGAATCCTGATGATCGTCGCCCCGTTTCTCTCGCGAGTCGACGCGTATCTGCTCTCTAGATCTGCCCGAGGATGTTGGTCACCGTTCCCGAACCCGTGCGTTTCCGATTTCGCGCTGCTCGCTTTCGCGTCCTCGATCTCGCTGCCCTCGCCCGCACTCGGCTCTTTCCCATCGCGGAATTCCTGCATTCCCATTTCCGGCGAGGGATCGCGATCGATCTCCGAACGGCCCTCGGGATTCGCGCGGTACGCGCTGTTCTCTCGGAAATACTTGGCCGCGAAAATCCGGTTGCTCTCGTGCCAGGACTTGCTATCGAATTCCTCGCGGTCCTTGCCATCCTCCCGACACTCCGGCTCGTCTCGTTTCGGCGGTGTCAACGGTCTGGAATGTCTGTCCGATCTTTTATCGGCAGCCTCGTGATTCTTGCTCCGAGGAGAGGTCCGCCTCTTCGACGAGTCTCGTCCCTTCAACGAGCTTCTCCTCTCCTGAGGATCGTAGTCCTGATCGTTCGCGGGACTCGCGCGAGCCGACTCGTCTTGGCTCTGGAAACACACGCTGCCGAATTCCACGTACCGCCCGTTAGGCGAGTGTCTGCTTTTCGGCTCGTCGAAGCTTCGAAAGGACACTTTGGTCGGCTCGCTGTCTCCGGGTTTGTAAGCTTCGTCGTGATCCTTGTACGAGATCCCGCCGAATTCCACGCTTTTCTCTTTCAACGAATTTTTACGTCCCACGTCGGTCGAGTGATCTTTGAAGCTCACTCTGCCGACGTCCGGCTCTGGATCCTTGTACAAATGGATTCTGCCGGAATCGGCGTCGTGTTCTTTGAAAGTGATTCTACTGACTCCGTCGGTATGTCCTTTGAACGAACGTTTCCTCTCCTCCTCGTCCTCGCGAGTCTTGGACGAAATTCTCCCGTAATCCGAGCTCTGCTCCTTGAAGGAATTCTTCCTTCCTACGTCCAGGCTTTGCTCCTTCGACGACGAACTCTTCCTCGGAACGTGTTCCGGGTCCCTGCCAAAGTATCTTTTCTCGACGTCCTGACTTTTCGAGCAATTCTTTCTGTACGAGTCGTTCTCTAGCTCCTTGAACGACGTCTTTCTGCTCAGGCTGGACTCTCTGTCGCGGGAGTGGCTCTTTTTCCCGTCGCTCGACTTGAACGAACTCTTCCTCGTCACCTGCCGATCGTGGTCCACGTCCGAATCTTTCAACGGGACTCGTTTCACGCACTCGGCATCTCTTCTCGGCTCCAGAAGAGCCCGCTCGTATCTCTGTATTCGCACGTCGAAATCCTCCGGGTTACCGTCGTAGACGTAGCTCCTTCTCTTCGGGCTATCTTTCCGTCGAGGAACATCGTCCTCCACATCTCTGGGTCGTCTGTGATTCCTCTCGGAAACGTACGCGTCGTTTCTCTTCTCCGTAAAAGCGTCGTTGGATTTCTCCGTCCTCCGATCTACGGAGCGACTTCGGCTCGTCTCTTCCTGCTCGTATTTCTCGGCTTCTCGCAGCTTAGACCTGGCAGACCTCCGCTCGTCTTCCCGATCGTCCTTCTGGGCTCTGCCTCTGTCCCGATCGTTAGCTTCCGCGATATGATCCGTTCGAACTTCGCCTCGACCTCCGCTTTTCGACCTGTACTCCTCCTTCTCGGGGCTGAGCGAGACGCGTTCCTTCCTCGACTTTGATTTATCCTCTTCCCGAGATTTGAATCGTTCTATCATCGCTTTGATCCTTCGATCGGGGGATCTGCCATCGACGATCGCCAGGTTCTCGATCTCTTTCAGCAACTGATCCCGCTCGTCGCCTCTCTGAGCCTCGTCCTTACCGTCGCTCTTGGTTCGACCCAACTTGGACGCTGCTTTCCAGCCGTCCGGGCTTTCCCAGCTCTCCTTCTTCCTCGATCGATTCGTTCCAGCCTGTTCCCGATCGATGGATCCCGTCCTGCCGCGATCGTCCCGCGACGACGCGTCCTCGTGATCGTCGTAGCGATCTTGCCTGCCGGAATCGTTCCTCGATGATCGGCCGTTCGTCAATCGAGGGCCCTCGAATCGATCCGTCTGTTTCCTTAATCCGACACTGCCGCCGCTCGGCACGATGTCCTTGATGTCCCAGGCGCCAAAGTGCTCCTTGCTCTTTTTATACAACAAGTCCGCGTCCACGTTCGCGTGCTCCTTATAGTCCCGTCCGTTCTTGCTCACCTCGTCGTTCTGTTGCCTCGTCATGCCAAAATGGTATCGGTTCGAGCTGTTCTTGTACGACTTGGACGAATGATCCTCTTGCTCCTCGTGGCTGCGCTCCTTGGGGTACGACGAGGTTACCTTCGAACCTTCCTTCGTCGACGACGAACCACGGAGACGAGACATCGTCGCGGCACCGTATCCCACCGTATGTATCCACTAGCACCGATCAGGTTCGCGTCGCGTTGGAAACTTTTCAAGGTTCCGTTACGGTTCTCCGCGAGTCCAGTTCGCCACGCGTTATTCCCGTCCGATGACTTAATCCCGGGATCCTTTCGATCCGTATCGCGAATATCGTCCAGCAGTCCGGCGAGGAGAGATCACAGCTCGATCACATATCAACGGCGCAGTCCGCGGAGCGAGATGGTCCCAGTGCGACGACTACCGTGGATCCAGCAGCGAGTGACATCGGCGGAGTCGGTCAAGGAACTCGATGCGACTCTTTCGATCGTTCCACAGCGCGAAAACGACGAGGAGCAGTGAAAAACGCGCGTCGCGGACTCGTTGTCTCATCGATCCGACGATAACGTCGCGCGTCGATGATCGAGAGAGGATCCCGAGCACTCTTCTCCTTCGGCCACCTCCACCTCGCGGCAACCGCTGTATCTTTGGATCCCTTTCGGTGGCTTCTTTTCTTCGCGAGAGACGAAGCCGGCTTCGGCCGAACGAGCGGAGCAGACGACCCTGAAAGTCGTCTGTGGACTTTCACGAACGCGAGCACTTTGCCGGTCGGAGTCACCACGAGAGTGTGCACCGGAGGAGAGCGTGTTCCTCCTCTCTCCCTCCCCTCACCTCGTCGCCTCCTTCCCGTCCTGTCCACCACCTTCCCCTGCCCCTTCCTCGAGCTCGCCATCCACCACTTGCCCTCTCCTCTCCTCTCTGCGTCCGCTCCTTTGCATCGCCACCACCACCACCGCCGCCGCCGCCACCACCACCATCTCCTCCTCCTCCTCCTCCTCCTTCTTCTTCTTCTTCTTCTTCTTCTTCTTCTTCTTCTTCTTCGCTGTCCTCCGTCCTGCGGTCCTGCTCGAGGTGAGGCGGACCACTCGATTCTCCCGTTAATCCGGCTCCTCTTTGCGTCCTCCACCTCTGCGTCTGCCGCGATACGACCACGTGAGCTCGACCTCGCTCGAGTTCACCGGGATTCTGGCACTCGCCGTCGTCCATCGTCTGCGGAGCCAACGGTTCCAGCTTTTCCTTTTCGTTTCACCCATTTGAACCCTTCTCTCCGCGTCTTTTCCGCCCGGGCACGAGTCCCCTTCGAGATCGGCAGGCAGCCGAGAATCGATCAAGGCCGTTTCGTAGTTTCACCGGTTTCTTTCGCCACGCGCTGCGATCGGAAGCGGCAAATTACAGCGAAACGATGACAGCGGCTATACAATGTGCCAGCGCTACGATTATCCTCTATCGGACACTCGAGCGGACCGATTCCTCTTCCGTTCGGTGAGTCTGTCCGATTACGATCATTTGCCTTGGAATATCGATGCTCCTAATCGGCCTGTTCGATTTCCCATGACAGACGCCCCTCTCGCGAGGTCCTCCTCGAGTCCTGTTCGACGAAGAACGTCGTCGTCGATCGCAAAACTATTCGACGAGACTCCGGCGAGGCGCCACTGTCTTCTCTTATCTGCTTCCTTTGGGAACGGCTGAAAGTGCTGGTCGCCGAGTGTCCTCGAAGCGGCTCGCGAAACGAGTTACGTGTACCTGGACTTGACTCATCGAGTCCTTAGAAATACGCGACGCGACGGAGTGGTCGAAACAGGAGGAAAACCAAGGATGAGCGGATGCCGTGGCGAAAAAAGTGGGAAAAAGACTCGGGGTCCTTCTTTGGAAATCTCTCGGACGCTTTTGTCACGCGGCCGGGACCAGGGGAACGAACCTGACCAGTGTGATTCATGGCACAGAACCGGTAAAAAAAAACGATAAGAACCGACGTTTTTTCCCAGCCAGTCGTTACGAAACGAAAGCGACGAATCGTCCGAGCGGACAGAGCCTTCCCGCGTGGCGGATAAGTCTGGTCGCGCGATAAAATCGTCCGTGCGCGTCTAATAAGTTCTCGGACGCGGGATCCCGCGGGTGTGGAGCCGGGGTTTATCGCGAACCACGGGCTGACGGACTGGTCTGTTCGTGGCAACGCATCGGCCGGCTCCAGGGACTGCTCGTTCCGTGCTCTCCCGAGCGAAAAATACGTCGATCCTTGCTTAATGAGACAGGATAATTCCGCTTAAACGAGGCAACCGTCTCGTTAGGCTCGAGACAATGCCAGGCCCAGTCGCGGAGGGGTGAGATATCGCGGCATATTCTCCGCCGATTACCGTGGCCGCGATATAATTCACAACGGGGCCGGATTTATCGCGCGTGGGCGGCTGATCGGTTGTAAATTGACACAGACAGATAATTTTCGACCGGGTTGCAGCGCAAGCGCAAACAGCTTTCGTATATCTCGTTAATCGCGTATCGGCTGCCCCAAGTGGGCTGTCACTGTTACGCCACGCCGCTCGACAATCGCCCGTGGCGAGCGGATCGCGTTCCTCTCCTTTAGGTTATGACTTACTGGTTATGACTAACTGGACAGTTACATGCGCCACGAGATCGTTCTTCGATCGTGCATCGATGAAAATTCTCCCAGCCAGGGACTCTACGCGCTGTCACCCGAGCCTATTGGGCCTCGAGCGATCTTTCGAATAGATGTAAACAGTCGGGCGACAGAGGCACAGTCTCCGAGTGTTTATGTCTGAAATTTTAATATCTATCGATGACCTGACGATCGGTCGAGCCGAGGAGCAGGCACTCGAACGTAGACCTTCGGAGAGAAAAGTCTGCGAAATCACTCATGCTTCGGGAACAGGATTAACGTTCGTCTCTTCGCGTTCTTTCGGCTTTGTAATCGCAGAGTGTACGATAGTGATTGCGTCGTGGCGTAAATTATGACAGATCGTGATAGCCGTCGAAGATACTCATCCATTCCGATTTGCTAAAATTTCACGCATTGGCAACTTCCAGGTAAGTATAGTAGTCGTGTTTCGACAAAGGGAGCGGAACAACCATTTCGTTTCCGCTTCCTCCGCTTCGGCAACTGTCGCTGCGAAACCGGCTGACAGCAGGGTCTCGTTTCGAAAAATTCCAGGACCCTACTCGAACGCGGAGGGCCAGGTGGTCGAACGGAAGGTCGCGCCCTGTTTCCTACACTGGCCGGGGACAAAAGACATGGGCGATTTTTAGGATTTTTAGGATTTTTAGAAGCCCGAGGTGATTCTAGGTAATACGCGAGGATCGTTTAACGCAGTTCCACGTGCCACGTGTAATTAATTGCATTTTGCAGCAGCTACGTCCGCTTGTAATTGAGCCGACGAGTTTCGCCAGGTTCGCGGAATACAGCTCCGTTTTTTTCCATCGCCGCCAGAAATCTGGTTGAACCGATTTCCATGAGTCGTTCCGTTTCACCGTGACGAGCCGAGGTAAAAGTGCGGACGGCACCGCGAGGCCAGGTAAAAAGAGAGCAAGAGGAAGAGAGAGCGAGGGAAAGAAGCTCGATACCAAGAGAGGAGGAGCATATCGCAGTTGGTTATCTAGGCTAAAGGCTATGCGCGCGATCGATTTCACGAACGATCTTTCCGTACGCATGAACGAGAAATCAAGGCCGCCTCTTTATGCATCTTCTTCGATGGTCGACGGAAACGGCTGTATACCCACGCCTCCTGCTTCCTCCTACACGCTAGGATCCTTTGAAAAAGTCGGTCGAAGATCGATAATTAAGCATCCTTGCCTCTACGAGAGCGAGCAGGAGCGCAGGCTCGAGAACAGGCCCAGGTGCAGCCACGGCTGACTCGCGTTCGAGGAAACGACGCACCGTGACGCCGAAAAGAGAGGATGACCGAAGACGAATCGAAGGATGTTTAGATGTTTCCTCTGACGAATGGAAATCTGTCGTGACGAGGAGTTTTCGTGGAACTACAGCCGCTACAGCCCTGCGTGTGGGCCGCGACAAGGTCCTGTCACGACGCCCCCGCCGTTTTGCACGCAGAGGTCTAACCGCTCGGTGAACGGGGCCTTACGCGCGCGCGTATCGACCTTTTCGCCCGAAATGGCGAGACCGAGGGTATCCGTCGAATCGACGGCTCGCTCTTCCATTACGCCGTCCAACGAATCTCAGGTTTTTCCCTAATCTGTAATATCCCTTGAATCATTCTCGCAGAGTTTCCTTCCCCGAACCCGAAGCCGTAATCGAAATTCCCCTATCACCCTCCGTTTGCGAAACTTTTAGGTTAGGTTTCTAGCAACGCGCGATTTTTGGCAAAAAGGAAGTATTACGTGGAAGGTAAGAACGTTAAAAGATTCGTTGTTGCGTTACAAGTTAGACGAGAGTATTCCGAGTATACGAATGTCCATTATTATGATTAATTGTACTTCTGAATGGTTATAATTGGTCGTCAAAGTTTAAAAGTAAGCCTCCGAGCGCACTTTCCACGCATATTCTTGCGGTTTTAGAAGAACCTCTTTATCTGACACGAATTTGCTACGCAATGGCGAGTTATGTACGCTTTTTTGAGGAAGAAACTATGGAGGAACGATATTAGAATGATCTTCAATGTTTACAGGAAGGTAAAACATATACCGGCAACCCGCAAGCGGGACTTTCTCGCCGCGCAGCCATTGTTCGCGCGCCTAGCTCCATCAGGGCCGTAGTCGCGCGTAATCCACGCCAAAATCATCGTCCAGTGAGTCTCATTTTCTTATATGCACAACATGTATATGTTTTCATGTACTTTAATATATTTATTGCAAAATTACAAGAAATTTCTGCAAATCACTTGTAATTTGCAGTTTGATTTTTTTATATATATGTACCAATGACTTTTCGATATAAAGTTGTTAAACAATAAACTCTCACCTAGCCTTTGAGGTGAGAATGAATTTTTTAACGCTTTTACTTTTCGCGTGATACTTCAGTTTAGTCAAAAATGCAGTTATAGTTTACAAAAAAAAATGTATAAACTATCAAAATTATTATTAAAAATAAATTGTTCGCAACGTAAATTTATAATAAAAGCGAAAAAAATTAATAAATCATTAATTATTACTTGTATTTATAACATATTTGTGTTAAAATGTACTAATAATTTGCAAAAAACTTATAAATT